AATAATATTATTATTTTTATTATTTAATTTAAATAAATTTCTAAAATGATTAAAGAGAATAAAAAAAAAAAATTAAAATTAAATATTATATTAAAAGATATATATATATATTTATTAATGTATTTATATATAAATATATATACTTATATATTTTTTTTTTTTTTTTAATTATACAACATTTTATATATATAAATAATTAAGATTAAATTTAATATGTTATATATATTTTATTTACTAAACAATATTATCATTTTTATATTAAAAACACACTTATTGATATTTATTATGTTTAAATTGTTTTCTTTTTAATTAAACACTAAGATTTACATATTTTTTATAAAAAAAACTTATTTATCATAAAAATATTCGTTAAAAAATCTTTTTTGGCCATTTTTTATATTGTTTATTAAAAAATATAAAGAAAATTAATAATAAAAAGTAATAATAAAACTTGATTATTTAATCCTAAAAAATACATTATTTTTGAAAATAAATAAAAAAATAAATACAATTTTTTTAAATTAATATATTATTGTAAATTATATTAAATTGAGAAATTTTATTTAAACTATTTTATTATATTTGTAAATTCATTTAAAAAATACTATAATATTAATATTATTTATAATAAAAAATAAATATCTTACAATTAAAATTATCTAAAATATATTTCAATATATGTAATTATAAAATAAATTGTATCTAATAACATATTAAAAAGATAAAGTAAATAAAAAACTAATTTAAATAATAAAAATAACATCCATTATTTTGAATTTAATAAGCAATGCCTTATTTATTTTAAAATTTTATATGATTATATAAGCAGCCTTTTTATAAATTTTCTTCTTTAATATATATATATATATATATTTATATATATATGTATATATATTTTTTTTTTTCCCTAAATCTATATGATTAAAATTTGGAATACTATATACATTTTTCCTTATGAAAATTAAAATTATTTAGATTAAAATACATCCAAATGATAAAATATATTATTAAGCTTGTGATTAAAAATTAAATATACTTACTTTTAAGAAAATTGAATTTAAAACATTATTATAATTTTAAATGTTATTAAAGTGTGTAATATTATTAATTATATATATAAATTTATATAATAACTATTTACATTAATATATTATTAAAATATCTTATTTAATTATCAATAAAAATGTCAAAAAATAAATATATATATTATTAATACCTAAATGATATTTTATTATGTTTAATTTTGTAATTATAATCTAGTTTATCTTTTAAAATAATATTTTGAACAAAAATATATTTCTTAATACATAGTTAAAAATTATTAAATAAAAAAAATAAATAAAAAAAAATAAAAAAAATTAATATAAATTAAAAAAAAATGGCATAATATGTATAAATAGAATAAAATTATTTAGAATAAATAGCTTTGAATTTTGATATTATAAGGGAACTTAATTCTTAAAATAATGAATAAAATGAAGACTCAAAATTAGCCTAAGAATTCGATTTTCATATATAAAAAACAATGCTAGACCTTCAAAAAAAAGCAGATTATAATTAATTGTCCGATATACACATATTAAAAGCTAAATTTTAACTAAATGATATTGTTTTTGTGAAAATAATCGATCTTTTATAATAAGATAAGCAATAAATTTCTCAAATTTTATAAGATATTTATAACTCACATAATTAAATATTTAATGAGATTTATAAACTGGAATAAAAAAACATTTCTTCTGAAAAATACTAAATATTAAAAGAAGAAAAAGATTAATTATAGCAAGAAATAGACATTTTAAAGCAAGAAAATGCAGAATATTTGCAAAAAATAATAAATAACTCGAAAAAAAATATAAACATTGAAAAAAATCAGTAACAAACAGATTTAAACGAAACAAAGAATTAACTTCAAATACAAAAAAACCTAAAAAATATGGAAGAAAAAAATTATCAAGACATTTAAAAAACCAAAAATATTCAAGAAATGAAAAAGATATAATTAGTTAATAATAAAATTCTATGTAAACATCTAATTCTATTTAAAATAATTACTATCCATAAATAAGAAATTTAAGTCTAAGATAATTAAAAGAAATAATCGAAGAAATATATAGATCAAAATCTATATATGATAAAAAATATATTGATTAGTAATTACCTTTAGAGACAATGGAATAACATATGTATACTTATTTAAATTAAAAATATGGCTTGAAAGTATCAATTATATATAAATATATAAATATATAAATATATAAATATATAAATATATAAAATATATTAATATATAAATATATATATAAATATATATATATATATATTTATATACATTTATTGTATATTTGAAGAATCTTATTGTCGAATGGGCAGGTGCTATAATAAATGGTATAAAAAATTATGGAAATGAAGACAATGATATTTCTGTATTTGGTAAAATTCTAAGAAACGAATGCGATGAAGAATTTAGATTTGTTCAAATTTAAATAAAAAATACTATAACGGAATTATTAAAAGTAATATAAATATATATATATATATATATATATAAATATATATATATATATATTTATTTATATTTATATTTATATTTATATATTTAATAAAATTTAGATGTATGTAAGAAACAAATATCCATTAAAAAAATCTATAGAAATTACTTAAATAGTCTAACAAAATAAAATAGTTTTATTTCTAAAAAAGAAGCTGTAGAAATTATTTAATATATGTATAATATATAAGAATCTGAAAAATTAATTTTTAAAATTTACACCCTATTATTAAATAATAAAAGAAAATGAAAAAAATTCATAAAAATAAAAAAAATTTCAAGAGAAGAATAATAAAATTAATAAAAAATAAAATTTAAATTTCTTTTGTACTTTTTTAAAATGTTATTCTTGATTATTAATTAAAAAGTCACGAAAATTATTTAAAAGCATTTGTTACTTATTTTAGAAAATAAGATAGAGATTTAAATGGGATAATAAATGAAGTATAAAATAATATATATATATATATATATATATATATATATATATATATATATATATATATTCATAAAGTAAGAATTTAATAATTTATGTAAACTTATAAATGAAAATATTAACTAAGATACTATTTATTAATATTTAAATTAATTAGATCCATATAATCATTAATAAATAACCTTTTCTTAATGCGTTTCTTTATTTTCATAAGTACATTTTTTATTAATAATTTTTATTATTTTATTTTTCATAAATAATTTAAAAGGAAATATTATAAAATAATTACTAAGATGAAAGTAATTAATAATAAACAATTTTACAATATTTACAAAATAAATGATTAAATAAATAATACAAAAGATAATATCTATAAATAAATAAATTAAAAAATAAATAAAAAAATAAAATTATTTTAATACATTTTTATAATTAAATAAATTTAATAAATTAATATTAAATAAAAAGATTTATATATTTTTATTTTTATAATAGTATAATTTTATATTCTTTTATTAAATTAATTTTTTAATCAATAATAAAAAATATATTTCATATTTTATCTGAAAAATTTCATATTATAAATCAATAATTTATTAATTATCTTTTTATTTTTTAATAGAACGATTTTATTGTATTTAATCTAATACAATAAATCCGTTATATTAAATAATGAAATATAATTAAAATTTATACTCAATTTTTTTGTAAAAATTAATTAGATATATTATTAAATTTAATAATTTTTGATGAATAATTAAAATAAAAGATATCTATATAATAGTATTTTTATTTAAATATTTATTTATTATAAAATATATGAATAATAATTTATTTAGCATTATAATTTTTTTTTTTAATTTTTGATTAATAAAAAAAATAAATAACATTATAAATTTATATGTAAAAAATAATAGAATTTTATTTAATATATAAAAGAATAATAATAATTTATAATAAATTAATAAAAAATCTCATAATTATATAATTGTAAAATTAAATAATAAAATATTATAATATTAAAAAAAATTAAATTTAAAACAATTAAAAATATTAATTAAATAAAATATGTATATATATAAATATATATATATTATTATTTAATATTCATATATATATTTATATAAATATTTTTAATATCTATTATCAAATATCTTATTAATCTTAACTCTATTAAAAATTGTTTTTAAAATTATACAATTTTATATATTATCATATATATATTTTTATATATTTTTTTTATTTTCATTAATTAATAATTATATAGTATTTATTTAGTATTTAGAATTATTATAAAAAAATATTATTATTTTTGAATTCATAAAAGATAATTTTACTTGTATATAAAAATAATAAATATCTATAATTTTTATAATTTTATATCAAAATTTTTTTTTTTTTATATAAATAATGTCAGAGTTTTTTAGTTTTATTGATAGATTTAAATAAACAGACTAAGATTATAATAATCTCTATAATAAATTAATTGTATTCATAAATTTATTTTAATACTTTTATTTATTTATTTAATAAAAATAAATAGTAATAAGAAAATTAATGTTTAAAAAATTATTAATCTTATAGTTAAAAACTTTAAGATTATCAAGATTTCGTTTCAAAAAACAAATGTTTTGAAGATAAAAAATAATTCGATCTTTATTTAGAATTATACACTAAATAATTTGTTTAAGTATTTTTTTTATTAAAATAATTAATAATATTTTTTTTATAAAATAAGAGTGGTATCGACATATGTACAAAATCAATAGAAGATGCTTAAGAAAATAATTCAAATTTTAAAACTGCTAAAAACAATTGCATTTAATTTTATTATAATAATATTCTTATTTTTAAAGACTAAACAATAAGTAAATTAAATAGTATTGTAAATAATACATAAATAGAATAATTATGAATTAAAAGTTTTCTATTAATAAATATAAAATAAACAAAACATATATATTATTTTATTATTCTAAAAAATAAAATAAAAATGCTAAAATATGAAAATTTATTAATATATATTTTTAATTGAAATTTTATAATATATTTTTTAAAATAAATTATATTAAATTATTGTCATTAATTCTAGAAATAATTTATAAAATTAATAAAAAGATATATTTTACATATTTATATATATTTTTTCTTATATTAAATATTATATTTTTAATTGAATATCATAAAAAATATAATTAATTATTAACCATATTTTTATTTAATTTATAAATAAATAATTATATAATATTTTTAAAAGCCTTGACTTTTATTTTAAAATAAAAATAATTTAAATTTTTTACCACTTGTTGAAATTAAAAACACATATTATTTATAAAAAAAAAAAAAAAAAAAAAAGAATAAATTAAAAATAAATAAAAAAAAATAATAAAAATGAATAAAATTTATATTCCAAAAAAATCTAAAAATCTTAATAAAATTTAACAAATATATCGCAAGAAAACGAAAATAAATTACTTTTAAACAATTTAAACCCAAGCCAAACCCCATACAATTATTTTATACTAAATTCATTTTTAAAATAGCAACAAATAACCCAATAAGAATCTGAAATAGACGACCATAAAATATAATTATTTTAAGAACTATTAAATATATACTAATAATAATAATAGCAAACAAATTATTTAGCTCTATTAGATTTTTTAAACTAATAAAATCAAAAAATATCCATAAACAATCCCGAATAAGGAACTAAGAAATTCGAAAAAGAGGTCGATATATATAATATATTAAACAAAAATATCGAATAAATTTAAAAATAATACACTGAATAAGAATTAATGAAAAAAAATGAAAGATAAATAAAAATTTAAAAATATAAAAATAAAAGGAGAAACTGGATAAGGAAAATTTCATATGACTGTCGAAAAAAAGTAGCAGATTCTCGATTAAGAATTAAAGGGAGGTTTATTTCAAAAAAAGACACTGAAAAAATATAAGAATTAATGGGTAATAATAATTAGGCTTTTAATTAAAAAAAAAACCTTAAATTAGATTTTATGAAGAATAATAATAATTTATAAAATGAGTCTAAAAACTAAATTTTAAATTAATTAGAATAAATTTTAAGTAATAAATAATAAATTAATAATAAATAAATAATGAATAATGTTATATAGAGAATTAAATAGAAAAAAAATGTTTTCTAGTTGTTAAAAAACAATTGAAATTCTTCTTTTTTTTTTTCTTTTTTTTTTTTTTTTAATGAAAACAAAATAAAATTTGAAATGTAATTTTAATTTCAAAAAAGAAAAAAAAAAAAAAAAAAACCATTTTTTTAAAAAAAAAAAAAAAAAAAAAAAAAAATAAATTGGGTTTTAAAAGGGTTTAATTTAATAAAAAAAAAAAAATTTTTTAAAAAATTTTAAAAATATTTGGGTTTTTTTTTTATTTTTTTAAAAACCCAAAAAAAAAAAATAAAAAAAAATATTTTTTTCC